CAATGTCTAATATGTGTTGCCGTACGGGTGGCCAGACATCGGTTGGACAGACATTAGTAAGCGATTTGGACACAAATATACATAAACTAATAATGAATGGATATTTAAGGCCAATAATGAGTACACCTATTCATTCTAAACATCTAGATAATCCATTTACAAATAATGATACATTTAACCCGCATAACTTTATATAAATGGTAATATAATATTATATGCGTTATAATATATAATACATATAATATTATAACATTTAATATTCATTAATTACATTAAAATAAATTCTTTATATAGTCAGTTTTCAAATTTTAAAAAATTAATAGTATACAGTATTCTATTATTATCAACATCATCACAACAACATCATTTATTATGTATCACATTTTATTGCTTTTTAGACAATACTAGCAGATTGACAGATATTTTGACAGATAAATATAACTGACTAATAAAACTGACAGATATTTTTATTATAATTATTACTTTTAACGTAGTAATACTTCATAATATGTATTCTATTATTTTATTATAACGCATATAATTTTTTATAATATACATATAATATTATGACATTTAATATACATTAATTACATTAAAATAAATTCTTTATATAATTATATGTCAAATTTTAAATATTAATAGTAAAGTTTTAAAGTTTTAAATATTACATATAATTTACAACACAATTTATCATGTAACATGATTCATGTTTATATTTTATATTAAATTTTATTCTTAAATCTAAAATATAGAAATGGTTGTGAGCAATTAAATTTAATTGGTTGTAAATAAATAACAATGTCTAATATAAAATTTGCTGAAATACTTTAATTTTAAAAATATTTAATACCCATATTTACTAAATAATTCTGAGCATAACTTTAATGTAAATTGTACATGTAAAATTACTTGAATTTTACAGTAATTTTAAATTAATTTTATAAAAAATATTTTTATGAATTTGTTACATATTTTTGTCTTTTTTCATTGAATACAAATGTGTCTCAATTTTGGCAACTTTTCAATTATTGAATTAGTTTCTGTTGAGTCCATTATTAGATTAGGATTTATGTCTATCATTTCAATAGTCTGTAAACGTGGTAAATGTGTCAATACATGCAATCCCTGACCATATATACCGGTTGCCGACGTATTATACTGAAGTCGAAGGCATTGAAGTTGTGATAAAAATGTTTTATTGAATTTAGTTTGCGATTCAATATAATTAGTGAGCGTTAGATGTGTTATACGTTTGCATTCATTCAGTGAATCCATTGATAATAAAAAAGGATAACAACAAAAACCATCGATTGATTTGCAACTAATATGCAATCGTTTTAATTGTTTGAAGCACTCATTAATTGTGGGCAATATATGGCTGACATTTGCCGACAACTCTAAGCAAAGTGAACGCAATTTAACACAATTAACGCCAATCTCTTTGAAACAATGGTTAAAATCTTGTGATTCTGGCTTATGATAGGGTATAAATGTCAGCTCAATTAACTCATTACAACGTGATAGATTTTTAGTAACCATGTTAAGATTATCGCGTGAAGCGTAAACTAGGTAAATTGTTTTAAGTTGACCATGGTAGTCATTAATAAACGTGTTAAACCTATCGGCCAATGAATGGTAATATTCAAGCGATACGCTCTGGAGTTTAGTAAATGCTAAATGATCTTGATCAAATAATTTGCTAAAATCTGGCTTCCATGCGGCGCAACCATACTTAGACACCAAGCTCATTTTACGTAAATTATGGCAATTACTCATGTGTTTAATCATTAAGTTATAATAGGGTTTAAGTCTGTTTGGCGTAAAAATAATTGACTGTAATTGTGGGCCAAACGTATCGTACAGGAGCTCAATGGACTCGGCTTTGATCAAGGTGTTTTCGTTGAGATGAATAGCGGTTAGTTTGGGACAGTGTTTGACAATATTGACCATCCATTGTAAGGCCAGTGGGTATATATGATGCCTCTGGTATGCGGTGATAGGTTTACGGGACGTATAACTGGCCGCTGAAAAAGCTTATGAATGAAATGTTTGAACACTTTTTTACAATTGTCTCAAATTGTTTTGCATTTGAATAGTTTTGTATCAATTTATCGTTAATTATGAGCTCTGTTTGTGTCGTAAAGACTAATCTCTGCCACTGTTTGGACACACATTCATATCTGGATCTGTCTTCCAGTGATAGATAAGACAATATGTGTCCACACATGTCATCACCAAATCGAGAGAAATAGTCTTTTGGATAGTTTTGTAGAATATTTGTCTTGTTTTTGTTGACAACTTTTCTTACTTTATTAGCCATTATTAACGCAAAACAAGTTATACAGTATTTGACTGTTATTTAACAATAACCTAATATTAAATATAAAATTTTATAATTATCTATTTTATAAATAGTATTGCCTTTAATTAACCATCAGCAAAGAAATTTATGTAACCTTTTAAAATATAACTTTTATAATAGAAAATAAAAATATTGTCAATTAAGTAACTTTTCTGTTATTATAATAAGGAATTCAAGTGTTTTTATTAAATAAAAAGTATTTAATCTCTAATAAATACAGTATATCAACACTTTTATAAACCTGATAATAATACTTTATACATTATATTAAATGTGCTACATACATGTGTACTGTATAATAAGGTAAATTAATACTTTTATCATGGTTTATCTGACAGTATTTAATATCATATAATGTCGACCAGATATCTATACCAAAGCAATGATAAAGTGCTACACCTTTGCACTTATAATAACATAGTGTCTAAAAAAAATTATTTTATGATTTATACAAAAATTTTATTGTTTAACATAACTATATTTTATTACACCTTGCTCGTGTGAATGCCCAACACTGTATATAATTTATTATACTGTTTACTTAAAATGTTATTTTATAAAAATTATGTTTAATTTTTTAAATGCATAAATAAATAACTATAAATAAATTAAATAAACAAATAAATATTACGGTATGTATAATTATAGACAAAAAATAAATGCACTAAAAAATTAATAATATAATTAATAAACAAATATTTAATTAAAATTTTAAGTAACAAATTAAGTAATTTTAATACATAATTGTGTGTAAACTGACAACAAATTACAAAGGCTATCAATTTTCAACACATTGTAATTTGAATATATTTTAAAACTAATGCAAATTTCTTATGAAAAATGCCATTTGTTTGCATTTATTAAGAAAAGTCTCAATATTACAGTACATTTCAATACCAAAAGTCACATGAGAGGAGATAATTGTAAGTTAAGGGCTAATCCAGGGATTATCCGCAATGGTATGCAGTTCTATATATTTATCACTTTGAAAACTTTTGATTTTTGTTTAAAATCAAAATTGTTTTTCAATTGTGTTTTTATATTTCATTTAGAAAACAATGCGATTTTGTTGGAAAAACTATAGCTTCAAGTATTCGGGCGATTGTTTTGACCAATTATTGGCCGAAGAAAACGGGAAAATGGCGTTCAAATCGGCGGACGTGGAGATGGACTGGGGGTACGACCAGAGCTCAGTCACCGGCGGCGGTGGTGGCGATGAGAGGTCCCAAATACAGGCCTTACGACACCTGAACATCAAATACAGGTGCACCGACTCGGAGGCCATTCACGCCATACCCAATCATTTGCGACAAATCGGCGCCAATTGTCAACAATTGCGGTCACTGTCTGTCAATTTGACGGTCAGTTCCGCGGATGTGATGACCGAAATCGTGGCCACAATTGACCGACACTTTCGACTGTTGAGACGGCTGGAGATCAGCGGCTATTTTCCCGACGACTTTGCGCTGACGGCCGGCGCTCTGTCTGAGTGCCGGTGTTTAACGCATTTGACTATCAGTGCATACAATCACGTGATTAACGATGAGTTCGCGGCCACTATTGACACATACTTTCCGTCACTGCAGTACTTATGGCTGTCAAATGTCCGCATCACTGATGCCTTGTTATACGCGTTGTCACGTTTGGCCGCAATTCAAACGATTGGTCTTTACGGTAGCGATGAGTTTAGCGAAGTGTCTGTCCGTAAACTGGTCGACAAATGCCCAACGCTTAAGCTTCGGCTTAATTCATACATGTATTGACTGTGTTATGGAATAATAAACACTTGTTTTTATTTAACATTTTTATTTATTACTTTATTATTATATTTTTACAAAATAATGTTTTAATTATATTTTAACTTTATCCAAATTGAATATTACATGCTGGTGTATAGTTTATATACCTGTAGTATACTCCTGTTCAACCAAGTCTCTATTAGAGACTTGGAGTAGAAAAGCCAATTGTCATACACAACATTAAAATTATGTTTCAAAGTTTGGATTAAAAATTATTAATCATTTGAATGAATGAACATATTATACACAGAGGGTATAAAATTTATAAAATGCAAATTTTGTAACGGTTTATATGAATAGTGATCTACTTTTAATTGTGAACAATTTATTTCTCTAACGAAATTGATTAAAAATGAGAAAACTGGTAGTATTTGCGCAAAAACATTAAGATCACGTTTGAAAATATGGTCATCAAATATTATTGAGTCAAATGTTAATAAAATTGTTGACAATCGCAAACAATATCAAAAATCTCATTAAAATGTGGATTTAATAATTAAATTTTGTTTTAAATGATGTTTTGTGAATAGACTGAAAGCCAACCACTATAAAATGGATGAGAAACTATTAGGTTAACCTTCACGTGGTGTTTCTTGTTTAATACTGACAAACCTAAACTTTTTTACTTACCGTTGCGCCACCTTTTTATGGCATACTGTGAATCTGTATATGTGATATACTAAAAACCTGTTGAACAGGCTTACTGTAGTATAAAGTAAACTTTCTAGTGTTTGTGAGTTGTTTTACGGTGTTAGATTTGTGCTAGTAAATTATTTTAATTTTATTTATTTATGATTTATTTGTATTTTGATTCGAGTTTTACATAGATTTAGTACATTTAGATTAATACATTTAATTAATTTATTTATAGTGTGAGTATATTAATTTTAACCTTGTCAACACATTTTAATTAATTATTATTCAATAAAAAATGTTTTTTATATTTAATTGTGAATAACAGAGAAGGAATAAATATTTACTTTGGTTCAAGGTCTAAATAAATATTGGGATATTAGGATATTACATTTATCACCATAATGTAACATTTTAATATACACAAGAATTGTGAAAATATTTAGAATAATAATATTTATTCAATTTGTGTAAATAATTATAATTTAAATGCAAAAATGTCACTGGATAAAATAAAAGTATGTAGATTACAATTAACTATGGTAATTATTTAAATTATGACAATTTTAACAAGGTTTGGTGCAATGAGAATAAATACTCGCTACTAATTATTTTGGCCGCTATTATGGGCCTTACTCTCGGGTTTATAGCGAAGTCCATATTCACTATAAGTCCCATTGCGTTGGTATATATTGCACTTCCGGGCACTTTGATTATCCGTGCTTTTACCATGATCATTGTGCCCTTCATTGTCTCATCTCTGTCCACGAGTATGTAATAAATTATTATTAATTAGTATTATTATGAGTTGCGTAAACACTAGTCTAAATAAATCTAGTTTAATATTTGTAACATTATTATCTATGAACAACAGGCATAACGGCTACAAAACGTGGTGAAAATAAGCGAATGATTGTGTTGACATTTATATTGGTTATAGTGTTTACGTTATTTTGCATCATATTTTCTATATTCATGGTCTCTATGATAAGGCCAGGGGTTAGAGATGTGTCGGCCCGCGAGGCCAGTCATAGGGATGTGACGGCCGGTCAGTCCTCATCACCAGTCGGTCGAGACATCAAACAAATGATCTCCAGTCAAGACGAGAGCATTTACGACATGTTTATGTTTGTATTAATTACATTGTATATTTGTTTTTTACAATTAATTATAAACATAATAATTAGTAGATTTACATAAATTATGCTTATGTAATTTTGCACGCTTTATAATTTAAATACACTTATAAAATAAATTTATAAAAGTAATATATTGTAAATACTAAACATTGTGGTATTGTTTTTAAAAATTTTCATAAGTGAAAACATAATTTTTTATTCGTTTAATAATTACAATAATTCCATATAATAATTTCAATATAGAAATTTAGTACCTGATAACATTATAGCCGCCGCGTTTACCACACATTATACAGCACTCGTACCGCTTGACCCCCAAAATCTGACCCTTGGCTACAAGAAAGTGGCCGAACGGGCGGTCAAACCAAATATGTTGGGTTTGTGTGTATTCGCACTCATATTGGGTTTCGTTGTTTTACAGTTGGATTCAAAGGCCGAGAATATCAAGAATATTCTGTACGAAACCAATGCGGTTATTCTGTCAATCATGATGTCTTTGCTAAAGTAACCATGACCATTTTATTATTCAAAATCTTAGCATTAATTATCAAAATAATCACGATACATTTTTTTGACAGAGTAATGCCAATCGGTATGTTTTGCTGGATGTTTGTTGAAGCTGTGAAAATGAAATCACCAAGCAAAATTATCGGCCAACTGGGCATGTTATACATTACCGCGATCATTACATTCTCGTGCATTTGGTTTTTAGTATACCCAACAGTCTATTTTTTAATCGTACGCAAAAATCCATTTAAATTTTACGCCACTATTACGCCGGTAATTTTGTTGGCATTTGGCACGGCATCGAGGTTAGTTCAATCTAAAACCAATTCATCAAGTTAACTTACAAATTACACTTATTTTAACTTATGGTTAGCGCCCTAACACTGCCGGTTACCATAAAGACAATGGTGGACAAATATCACCTACATCCATCGGTGGCACAGTTTGTGTTGCCACTGGGTATGAACATTAACATGAATGGCTCAGCCATGTACTACCCGGCCGTTGCTTTATTTGTGGCCCAAATGCACAACCATACAGTCACACTGCAGATGTTGATCACTTTATGGTATGTCTGATTTAAACCACTCGCTTTGAATTTACCCCTGTTTATTTTCTGTATTTTGTTTAGCATATTTACCTTGATCATGTCAATGGCTATACCCAGCGCACCGGCTAGTGGTGGCTCCCTGGTGAATTTTATATCCTATTGCGCTGTTATCGGCATCGATTATCCCCTGGATATACTCGCCTATACCATGACTATGGATTGGCTTATGTTTGTAAAGCTGTAGATTAATCATTGATTATGATAATTGTTTTTAATCATGTTAATTAGGGATCGCATGCGTACCGTAACCAACGTATTGGGCGACTGTTTCATATCGGCAATTGTCCAGAAATTGTGTCACATTAAATCCGATATAACCGATGATTATAACCTTGCACAAATGCTGCCAACAGCTGCTTCTGGCTGATAATAAGAATGGTTATTGTTCATTTTATTCATACTCATTTTCTCATTTGATTAATTTAATGTGTAGTTAATTATTAATTATGTTAAATTAATTATTTTAATCCAAATATTTTAACATGTAAAGTATTAATTTTACTAAAAATCAAAGCTACAAACTAGATACATAATATTACAAGCAATGGACAAAAAAATAAAATACAATTTAAAATTATATCAAATAAATATTTGTGAAACATTTGTCAATTACATTGTCCATGGTGAAAAAAGTATTATTAAATTCAATAAGTTTTTGATGTAAAATGTGTTAAATGTGTGCAACAATTGAGTGAATCGCGCGTTAAAACCAATCCATTAGATGTTTTATTAACAATATTTAATCGCTTCAATTGTGTGAAACACTCATTAATTGGTGGCATTAATTCGCCCGCGTTTTTCATAGACACCAAAAGTCGCCTCAATTTAACACATTTTATGCCAATTTGTTTGAATTGGTGAATAAAATCCGGTGAAATTACATTGGTGAAAATGCCACATATAATTTGTAGGTCAATTAACGAGTTAAATCCAGATAAAGTGGCCATAATTGTATTGTTGATAGCGTTTGGCGATCCGTAATATCCTCTCAAATTAATTGAAAGCGATTTGATTTGTTTGCCGTAAATGTTGGCAAACGTGTGAAAATTGTCGCCAATATTACCGTTAAAACTGACCGATAGTTTGCTAAGCGATGGGAATAAACGGGTATTTTTGCGCGAGGTAAATAAATATCGCCACCATTTAACAAGATCGTTTTGGTGATGCAACGCTGGAAATGCTATTTCGCGTACATTACGACACTGTTTAATAGAGTTTATGATTATTAGGTTATTAGACGGGCCAAAGTCTAGTGAACCAATTTTGATGGTTTGAATGTTTGTACACTTTTCGACAATTTTCCCGATTTGTGGCTCAGTTTTTGCCGACACTAATCCCTCAGTTATTGTGAGCTCTGTTTGTGTCGTGAATATGAATTGTTGCCATTGAGTGGACACACATTCACACCGGAATCGGTCCTCAAATGACAGGTAAGACAATATGTATTGACACATGTCATCACCGAATCGGTCCAAAGAGTCTTTTGGGTATATATTTGTGTCCATTTTGTTAAGCTATTGTCTACTATTTATAGACAATTATTGGCAACAATTATAATATCTGTAGATATGTGTAAAAACTAATCATATATAAAAAGTAAGATATAAATTAGTAAAAATGTTATTAATACTTACATATAAAATATATTTTGTGTGAATAATAATATTTGTAATGAAAATGTGATATAATTGTATTTCGAGACCAATATATGTGGTAATCGCCGACTTAGTGGACGTCTCACGTCAGGCCCGCAGTCCCTGTGCTTTACAATATGGTTGAGACAATAAAAACACGGTTTGAAAATTAAACAACTTTTTAAAAATAAATAGAGAAAACGGTATAAAAAATATTAAACATCATTATTTATATAGTCGTGAGTTTACATTCAAGTATACAATCAAATAATTTGATTGGTTATTTGATAGAACGCGGGTAATTGCCATATATGGTTCTTGCAAAATTATCATACTGTATATTATACTAATCTTTGTAATTCAATTAATTTATAGTTTATAAATAAGGAATTATTCTCTGTTAATAACGAATAGAAATGTGTACAGTAACTTTATCAACATAGATTAATGACAACATAAAAC